GCCTCTTAAAAGAAGGCAATGTCCTTACTAGCAAGTTCTAGGCAACTCCTAAAATCACATATAACCTCACATATAATCTATCATAGCAAATATTTTTAGTGTTCCAGTAGAAATGGGCAAGAGAACAGGAACCAAGTTTCAGTGTTTAGGTCCTTTCTATTTCATTACGGACTCAAATTTCAGATTCATCTGAGATTTAACGAGTCATGGACACGAAAATGTTTAAGGAACTCACAGGTCATATTGAATATGACTTAAGCACCCAGAAAATATTACAAGTAGAGAGAAGCTTACCTTCACGTCTTTGATCAGTGTTGTCTTCTTGAATTCCCTCCCCCAATCTCTTTCAAATCCCACCTACTCTTAATGACCCAGGCTCCATTGCTATCACTTCTGCGTGGCTTCCCATTCCCACCCCATTCACTACCCTCCCCCCACACACACACAACACACACACACACCACTCCCTTCCTCCTTTTCTTTTGGATGTACTTTGTGCACAGCACTGTCGACTTTCTTTGTACTGTACAGCTGCCTGTGGATGTGGACAAATCTTCTGGAGCACAAGACAGGCTGCATGAGAACGCAGAGGCATAAGTCTTCCAAACGTTTATGTCTGCCCTTTTGAAACGCTGTACACAGCAAGGGTTCATGCTTGGTTGCATAAGGTATTTGAAAATGTAACGTCCGTGAGTATTTCTGGGGGTTAGTATCAACTACTACTGGTTAGTTTCAACAATTACATCTTTAATTATGTAAATTAAAAGAAATGTTAATATTGAGTTTGAGATGCTAAGATTGTGACACGTCTTAATTGAAAGTAGCATAAAGTCAGTCAGCATCCTTTTAATATTCAGGGTATTTTTCTATATTAGTGCTTTGCAAATTGTCACTCCACGTGCTATATATTTAGAGAGAGCAAGAACATCCAGCCAGATTCCTCCATCAACTTAACTATTCAGATAACTAGTATCTGACTGTATATAATTCTTGTTTTGCTTCAGAAAGGATATGGACAACTTATTGAATATGAAAGCATCTTAAGATTCACTAAACTAAATGTTTGAAAATTACACAAATGAGCTAGTAAACCACGAAAGGAAAAGCAGAATCGATAAAAAGGGCAGAGCAGGTTCATTTTTGCAAGTTGTAACTGGGTTTATAAAAACTACATCAAGGTAGGTTGACGCCTGCTCCTGAGCTCTCATAGCATCTATGACATTGTGGTCATGGCCTGGTGGCTCGTCTGTCCTCTCTCCTAGGTGATAGTTTCCAAGAAGGTTAAGAGCCACATCCTGCTCATTTTTATGACCTGGGGTACAGCAGAGGACATGGATAACCAATAAACCTGTGTTGAACAACCAAAAAATACTTGCGTTTATTTCTATGAACCAGAATTCTAGAAAGGTTAATTTCAGTAACCCTATGTCAACAGGTTGCATATATTAATGGTGTAGATGTTTTAATCCATACAACTTAAAGGGAACTGAGCCCACTTTTGGGAATTTCAGAGGAAAAATACAAAGAATAGTAGAGAAAAATGAACCATTCATCGCAATAATTGAGGCTATAAACGCTCCTCAAACAATAATAAATTGTTACGATTTTAGCAATATTTCTGTTTTCTTCCACTGTTTTAAGGTTCCAATATGGTAACAGAGGCATAAAGGATCAAAACCACTGCCTTTTTTGTATCTTCTAACCAATGAAAGGTATATGCACATTGTTCGGAAAGTGTATTAAAATTTTAACATACTTGTTAAAATATACACATTTTCTTATATCCTTTTAGCAGAAAGTCAGAAGCTTCCACTACATTTTTCATCCTCTTATAAAGTAAGGTTGGAACTCGTGCAATCTGTTTATTTTTAAAAAACAGGAAGGTTAAATTGCTAACACTTTTCCTCAAATCAGATTAAAATAATGGAAAATGATGTTAAGATTAAAAATTTATGTTGGCTACTCTAACACTGAATCGTGATACCCTAGATAATCTGCAAACATAAGGTGAGAAAGGATTCTAAGTGAAAAAACATTTCTCCTCAAGTACACAAGGAGCTTCACAAATCTCCTTTACTGAGAATTTTTCCACTATTTGCTCAAACATAAAAGAACTGCTGACATGCAAACCAGTCAAAATACTGATAAGCATGCAAGAGGAGATAGGTGAGGGGAGGATGTTCCAACATTACAAAATTAGAGTATTAAATTCATATAACATAAAAGGGAGTATGGAGATTTGAGATTAATTGCATGTTGAAAGAAAAGGAATCGTCTTGTCATTCAGCTATGCTCTTGACTACTAAGTTGTGAATTCAGGACAATTACTTTTACAATGGCTTTGTACCAAAAAAGCTGACAGATACAATCAAATTAAAAGAAGCCATTTAGTATACTTTGTTAAAAAAAAAAAAAAAAAAAGAAAAAAGTACTTATTGATATTATTATATCAAATTTTCTTAAGTTCTATAGAAGTAGAACTTTTGCATAAAAGATCAGCAGGAAATATTTTTCTTCCTCCACAGATCTGTTAAGGATGTGTTACAAGAATTGAACACGTATGTGAAACATGGGGTTGGCACAGTTCATGATTTGTACACATGTGCTACACATATCAATCCTTACCTAATGAAAACTGAGTTTCTGATTTTAGAGAAGAGTCTCTGACAATCTGGTCCTTGGGCAACAAAAATAAATTTCACACACCAACACTTACTCCCGTGGGTGAAGTGAATTTTGCCAGTGGAAGCAAAATAAGTTAACTGCCTTCTATTTGGTTTTCCTTTAGTGCAAGTAAATGTGTGAGGACAACTCCCATTTGTCAAAAAAGGTTGATGGTTATTAAATCAGAGCTATAGAATGATGTCAGCATCCAATTACCCAAACTTTACAACTAGCAGATAAAAGCACGTATTCCTATAAAAATTATTCATCAAGTCATATTTGAAAGCTAACTAATCAGAAGGTGTCATTCAAAAAAATTTTTTGCACATTCTACCTCAATTAATATGCCTTTTGGAATTCTTACTTTAGATGACCCTGCTTTCAACTAAGGCTCTGAGGGAACCTCTTTTAACTGAAGAGAGCAAGTTCATTAGACTGAGCACAGGAGCCCCCAGAATGCGTATAAAGACCTACTCAGCACACTGTACTTTCCCTTCAACTTTGTTTATTGATGTACTGAACATGGAAAAGTACAAAGAATCCAAACACAAAAGAAAACATGTACAGCCTCTTAAATACTCAA